TCTTTTCTACACAAAAAGGCAATTTAGATCAATGGTTTTGACATCCAAATTTCTTAACCCCTTGGCCGTCATTAATTGATTTGACCGAAGAAACAAAAGTTGGCAGAATTCTGGCAGCATGTTGCAAAAAATCACAAAAAATGCAAAATAAAAAAAATTTTTTACATAGATGATATTCAAATTGGTTTAAGAATGATTTCAAAATTGCAAATAAAAAAACATGAAACAACAAAAAAGATAACAGACGATGTAAGATAAAAGTAAATGAAAGATAAAGTGCTTTGTTACCTACCAAGCAAATTTTGATTACACTATCACTCCCCGCAATTGTGAAAAATTTAGCTTTTTTGTGTACTGAATTTAGCTGGCTGAATTTGGCTGCCAATTTTAAAATATTTGGCTGCCAACCGTTCCAATCACCTGGCTAAACCCTGAAAGTGGAAAGTCACACATTCTTGTGCAAAGTGTTTCCATTTGGTGGTGATAGACAACAGATCAATGATAGACAACAGACCCTCGCAGAACACAGAATGTTATTGATGCTGCTATACCACAAAATGTATCAGAACTGCGCAGCTTCTTAAGCATGGTGACGTTTAGTTCCAAATATATAGCCAACTTTGCCATCATTGCTACCCCTCTCCATGAATTGACAAAAGCAGGTGTCACATTACCCTGGGTACCAGACTCACTATATATAAAATAAAATAGAGAGTCTGGTCAAGTGCGCCCCATTCTCGTTCTGGTGTGCTGATATTAACCAATCAGGAGCCAGTGTAAAGATTTCTGTACGTTCAAAGGTCACAGCGAAACAAGAAACGTAGCTCTGGTGTAAAACATTGAACAGAACACAACATAAATAAATGCTAACGATTGAGTTTGAAGATGCTGTTAAAACTGTGCTCAAAGAATATTTTCCGCATGTTGTGGACAGCATTGAAAGCCTTGTTTGTAGAGAGGAGAAACCTTCGCCATATTGCCAATTGGCTTTGGAAAGTCTCTTATATTTCAGGCTGTGCCTCTCATGCAAAGAAATTAGGCCTTGTAGTGAAATGCATTAAATAAGAAACACCGCAAGGCGCCGAGAACAAACAACACCAAACACAAGTAAATCAGTTATAGCTAATATTTCACCCGGCATACGGGGCTTCGCTTGTCGTATTGGCCATTTTTGCTGTGATGAACTTCCAACGTGATGATTCTAACCGCCGCGGTGTCTAAGCACGCTGCCCCAGTCTGCAGAGTATGGCACTTTTCGACGAGATCTCCGGTGTGCACGAGCAAAAAGCCTGGTGTGACGGTGTGCACCACCTAAAATGTCTGGTGTGCTGGTGTGCACCGACTATTTTTCCCTGTTGTGGTTAAAATTTGTGAATTTGCATTTCACCGTAAAAATGCGTGTGAAGTATACTGTTGAAGATAGCGCAAGTTTTTATTTGTATATTTGTCAAGTAAGATTCATGATATCTCAAATTGTTCATACACAACTGTGCTTGTTTTTATCAGCTGACATTTTCTATGGGACCACACCAAGCCACACCCATCTTAGTTGCCACACCCAAAAATACGGGTGTGCAACAGGTTTTGCACAAAAATATCTCCGGTGTGCACATGCCATACTCTGCAGACTGGACGCTGCCTACACAGTGAGGAAGTAGACTTTGAAAGTACACACAATTTATGAGGAAAATTAAAAAAGACTTATTTTAAGTTTTATATGAAATTTAATAATGATTAACATTTAATAACTGCATTGTGTTAACTTTAATTTCATGCTTCGCACAAGTTTTTTGCTGCCAAATGGCGTTTTACATCTGACTTGATTAAATAGGCGTATTAATAATGTCGACTTTACAGAACTGTATAAAATACATTTGCTTTAAGATTTCCCAAAACTCCTCTGAGTCTGACTACTGAGTATCTTTGTTATTTATCCGACAGTCTTGTTTCACAGGCCTAGTCTGTTAAATAGACTTCAGTTCTTTCAAGTAGGTTCACCAGAACGAGAATGGGGCGCACTAGACCAGACTCTCTATTTTATTTCATATATAGTGAGTCTGGTACCCAGGGTAGTGTCACATTTACATGGGAACAAAAGCACCAAACTGCATTCGACAAACTGAAAGCAGCTATTACTAAACCACAAGTTATGGCATATTTTGATGCTAAGAAGGACACTGTGTTAACAGTTGATGCCAGTCCAGTGGGTCTGTCGGGAATTCTATTCTATCTCAAAGATCCGCATGTGATGCAAAAGGTAAAGTGGTTGCATATGCTAGCCGAGCGTTATCAGACGTAGAACGCCGGTACTCTCAAACGTGTTTGGGCCATAGAACATTTCCATTTATATCTTTATGGTCATTCATTTACACTGGAAACGGATCATAAGCCCTTAGAAATGATCTATCTGGTTGTTGTTGCGCCTGCATTTTCGGCTGCATTTTCTTGAGCTCTTACTAATCTTTATAATTTTGAGGTATTTCGCTATTTATCTCATTTAATATGGTGTGAAGTTGAAAGGACAAGACTGGAGCGCTCTCTCGAGAGTCAATCTGAAGGTTTATCTATCCTGGTCAAGTCAAAAGTCAAAATCTGATGTGATGCCGTGCTGGGAGAAATGGCCTAAGTTGTTAGGCCCAGCCGTTTCGCTTTCGTGCAACACTGACAAAGAATGTCAGCATTACATTACGATTCAAATACTATTTTAGACATCTTTTCTCATATGAAAAGAGTGGATTTGAGGCTACCAATAGATGATTATTTGAGAATTAAAAATCTGGGAATTCTACGAAATGACTTGCAAAGAGGAAGAGGAAAAAGGGGGTACTGGTAACAAGAGAATTAAAAAAATTGATATGATTACTGGATGCAATGCCAAAAATCTTGTTAAAATACAAAAAAGGAATGACAAAAGCTTTCTTACAATTAGGTGTGTCAATGTTTGCTCCATGCGTAACAAAACATCAGACTTTATTACCAGTGTCACTGATGACAACTATGACATTTGTTTGGTTACAGAGACCTGGCTAAAGGAAGATAATTCAGCCAAGCGCATTGAGTGTACCCTGCCAGGTTTCGATTTTCTTGATGTGCCACGGATTGACAGAAATGGGGGTGGAACTGGGTTGCAGGCCAAATCACAACTGAAAACAAGACTCATACACTCAGGCTGTAAGTCGTCTTTTGAATTCTCAGAATGGAAATTGAAATGTCAGTCTGGTTTTATAACATTGATAATAATCTACAGACCTCCATACTCTGCACATCATCCTGTGACTGCAAGAACATTCATAGATGAGTTTTCCAGTTACTTGGAATCTATTATAATAACACCTAATAAATTGCATTCACGTGAATGATGAGAGTGATGTGACAGCAAAAGCGTTTCTTGATTTGCTCCAGAATTATGATCTAATCAACCATGTTTGGCAGCCTACTAATGTTGCTGACAATACATTAGACCTGATCATTACAAGAAATAACAATGAGACTTCACTTGACAGAATTTTCAAGGGGGGGGGTGGGTGCCGC